GTATTTTTAATCTGAAAAGAGATTCACTGAGTGAGAACTAATGTTAGCTCAGCAGACAGTTTCAGTTTCACCCAAGAGCCTGCAAGAGTCATGGGTGGGGTGTGTGGTGAGGGGATGTAGGGAGGGGGAGGGGGGCACTCTGCCATGAGGAAACTCAGCTTAAAGACACGTCCCAGGGGGTGTTTCTGGTCCCCACCTGTCGTTTTGCTCCTCAGCATGGCTTCCTGAAAACACTGCAGGATTTTTTCAAACATGCATGAATGAGTCAGAGCAAGGCTTTGGGCATGTTTTTTAATGAGATTATAACATTACAACATGATATAAAACTCAAATAAGTTGATTTTACATGATATTGCCCCTTTAATTTATTTTATTTTTTATTTGACCCAGTCATTTGCACAAGTCAGTCATGACTGTTATTTCCTGTGATTATGTATCTTTCTGCACAGTAGCTTTCTTTTTACTTTCATTTTTATCTAATTTTTCCTTGATGGACCGGTACTGTAATTATTATTCTTATTTTTGACTTTGATCTATGTTTATTTTTGTTGTTACTATCTTTAATTCTATTAATTTTTTGCTGCTATTGATGTTGTCACATGGCAGCGTACTGTTTTGTGGATTGATACGTGTACATGCTGCTGCTACTCCACCTGAATTTCCCCCCGCATGGGACAATAAAAGCTGTTTTATTCTATTCTATTCTATTCTATTCTATTCTATTCTATTGTAAAGACTTTATGAACATTCTTTCATGTGTAAATGTGATGATGTGATCTGATCAGAATTTGTGACTTTTGAAGCGACTTTTCTGCTCGTTTCAAACCTGTTCTTAACGCTCACATCTCGCCGCGCGCGTGTGTAACCAGGGACAGCAAGTTGACCATGTTGCTAAGGGAGTCGCTAGGCAACATGAACTGCCGGACCACCATGATTGCTCACATCTCCGCCTCGCCCAGAGATTTCTCAGAGACCCTCTCCACCATCCAGATTGCTTCGCGCGTCCTCCGCATGAAGAAGAAGAAAACTAAAGTCACCGTGGTGAGTTTGAGGCTTTGTTAACATTTAGAAAAATGACACTTTTTTTAACGGTGAAACACACCTTACAGTACTCATTACTTTATATGGACTGTATAAGGTTTTATTTTCAGAAAATTTTGTGTGGCATTTAAAATGACACTGTTTGCAGAAGATGCAATGTTTGTGTAGGGGTGTTTTTACGTTTCAGGACTATCAGCTGAAGCAGGAAGAAAGAAAACTTAAGGCCTCATAGCTGTAAAAACGGCTTCAATGAAGGATTTAAATTCATAAAATCCTTAAAAAAATAGTATTTAACAGGAGAGTCAAACTTATTTTCACCTCAAAGGGCCAGCTCTAATTAACTTGGACTAAAAACATGAAACTTCACGTTTCTTGTCTCATTGCTACGACTGAGCACCGCTAACAATAACTGAGCTCTACGTGGTATTTCATGCATAGAAAAAGTGTTTTGACATTTTTGTAAAAGTACTACGTGTACGACTGACTCAATGTGAAATAAATAATACAGAAATACTGTTAAAAGTAAAAGTAAGAGTTTTACTCAGTTGTGGTTAGTCTTGAATTCTGAACTCTCCCACTTTCCGACAGGGAATCCCCACTGGAGGACACATTCCAGTGTAAATTTACAACTTGTAAGTGGGAGATCCTCACTTTGCAGTACAACTAGGCCACAGCAAAAGTAGCTGGCAAAAATGCAGCGAAATGTAGATTTTACATGGTGAATTTCACCCACTGCTTTTGAACCCTGTGAACCTCCACCTAGTGTTGGGATGCTGTAATTCTGTGGATAAAATAATCAACATGCATTATGGGAGATGTAGTTTATAAT